GTTCAGTCGTTGCAGAGACTTCTGTGTTTCCTCAAAGAAAGACTTTGCTGGATAAAATTTGGAGTGGGTATTTTAAGCTTGATGGATGAGCCATTGTATTTTTTAATCAACATTGACTCAGGAGCAGAGGAAAAAGATGGGGATTCAGAACTTGAGAACCTAATAGAGATATCAATGTCCATTTCTGATACAGCAGAAATGCTCTTGTCCAAAATCAGTGAGTGGAATAAACGATCTCACATATAAGGTAGCCCTTTCTCAGTCATTTAATGCAAATTGAGATTGAAAATATTCCCCTTTTTCAGAGTGATTTTTTTTTTTAGAAGAGATTAAGTGGTAGGATATGGTGAGATCTCAGTGATGAGATGGTTTTCAATACAAATTATTTGCCATGTGTGATGTAAAAAGAACAGTTTTTAAGAATTGTTTCTTTCCATTTATGTGTTGTACGAACTGCTTTGGAGAATTTCCTTAGGATGGAATTGGGATTAATTTGACACAGGAGCTAGTTACACTGTGATGGTGGCAGATCATCTATGTTTATGCTTCAAGGAGTTTTTGTGAACCACCATTTTTTTCAGTACTACTTTCAAATCTATTCCAGCTAAACTGTTTTCTTGGCCAGTTTATATGCGCTGGGCTCCTGGTAACTTGCATTACATTCCTAACTGATTTTTTGCACTTCGTCTTCCACAAAGAGAGGAAGATGCAATAAACTGTCCTATCCAAGCACATAATTCTTGTCATATTTAAAGAATTTTCCATCGGCACCATACTGGAATGCATACAGAGCTGCATGAAGACAAAACCTGAAAGTAGCCTGCAAGTGTATAAATACAGAAAAAAAGTAGTCTACAGAAACTGCAGTCTAGCTCTGCTCTAACCCTTCTACTGTAGTATGAGGGCCTGAATAGGACTCTTAGTTGGGACTGAGCTGTGTTAGGTGTTGTGTGTGGATGATGAATTAGATGTCAAGAAGAGAGAGCGATGACTCCATGAAAGTAAAATACCAAACAGAAGCCTTAAAAGCCAAACCAGATAATGTAGGATGTTGCTCTGTTATCAGACAGCCTTTGGCACCCTGGAGCACTCAGGCTGCGCATTGCGCCTGTGAGGTGGATGATGTTACTGCTCTTGTCTTCAGTGCAGAGAGCTGTTGCTGCCCAGAATGCTTCTCTCTGGGTACTTCTGATTTCTTTTCTTCTACATGTCACTGTTTCCTTGCATAGTCAGCTGTTAAATATGCCCGTTTCTGATACTTTGTTTTGTCTCTGACTACTTACTAATCTGAAAGTACCCAGTGCTCGGGGTACAGACCTTACATTAATTCACAATTTTGCTAGCTTTCCTTCTTTCTTGAAACTTTGGCCAGGTTTCTTCCTCTACCTAGTGATGCCATGCATAAATGCTGTTTTTCATTTTTGTTTGTTTGTTTGTTTTCTTTAAAAAAAGAAAAGAAATAATTTTATTGTTTTAAAAAACTGTGAAACTCCACCTACATCTAAAATCAAATGGAAAGCAACTCTGCTGAGGAGAATCTGACAGCACTGTTGGACAAGCATGAGCCAGCAACATGCTCTGTGTCAAAGAGAGCACTGCAACAGATTGCCCAGAGAGGTTGTGGAGTCTCCTCACTTGGAGATATACAGAAGCCATCTGAACATGGTCCAGGGCAATGTGCTATAGGTGACCCTGAGCATGAGGGTTGGAAAAGATGATCTGTAAGTGTCCCTTCCTACCTCAACCCTTCTGTGATTCTGTGATTTAAATGAAAATGTTTTAATCATTCTAAAGTTCCAAAATACTGCTCAAGTATATTTTCCCGCTAGTGTGACCTTGTTTCCCAGATCTATTGATGATACTGTTTGAAGTTATTCCATTAAAAATAGATGCAGATTTAGTGGGGAAGAGAGGGAAAAACTCTAAGTAGCTGGACTCTTCCCTTTAACACCCTCTGATATGTAATGAAATCTGAGACTCCTGCATCATTCTCATTCAGATTGGAACTATGACAAATGCGGAAAACTTTTATGAAAAGTTTGTTTTTGTCCTTCTCATCCTCATTATGTTCTTGTTCCATCTTAGTTCAGCCACATCTTGAGATGGAGAAGTTGTAGTTGGTGCTATTCCAGCCACCGTAGCCAGTTTTGCTGGGTGCTGGCTTTCAGAACTGCCGCTACCAGATGGCAGCATGTCAAAACACATGCTTCTGAAATCCTGCAGATTTTTGCCAAGTCTTGAAGCAGAAATATGTCTCATTCAGTGAAATTTGCTACCTGAAAAGTAGTACTGATAAGGGTTTCTGAAGGGATCCTGGGGCCTTTAGAGAACAGCTGTGTGAAATCTTTAGATTTTTGCTGATCTGCTCTTCTATATCCATCTCTGTATGAGCTACCTGTAGACAGATTTTTAGATTTCAGTTGATTTTAGTTGTCTCATTTTATTTGCTCAAAATCTGATATTTGGGACTCTAGGAAGGTTATAAGGCCCTAGACAGTTTCAGTTCATGGATCCAAGTATTAAGTTGGTAAGAGCAGATGGACATCCTTGAACATTTTTAGTTTTTCAACGACCAATGTGGGTTTTGGATTCATGTTCACAGTTTGATTATCTAGTGTTCAGCCACTCAACTGTGATAGTATTTTTCATTCTCAAATTATGAAATATTTATCTAAAATGGCTGAGTCATATGCTACAAATAATTTCAATAGGATCTTCAGGGATTAGGGCATGAGGAATAATCAAAATCTGTAAATCAATACAAATATTATTTTATTTTTAAAATAATATATGTCAACAGTGTTAGTTACTAGGTAACTACAGATTTGAATTATGATACTAGAGTATTGGTCTTTTTAGAAATGACCCCCAATATGTTAGCATTACCTGAAGCATTTTCCCTTCAGTAACAAAAAGTGTGACTTCTGAATGGAGACCATAACCAAGTTACAAGTGATCCTCTCTATTATTGTGGAATTTACTACAAGAAAGAGGTCATGCTTATTTTTGTAGGTTTTGTTTTTTGCATTTAACAGGATTTTTTCTCCTGTGTACGTGTTCTACTATCTTACTGCAAATTTAAGGTCTTTTTTTTTTAGAAATAGATATGGGTAACTCATTAGGAAAATTTGGATACGTTCATATGTTGAATTAAGGTAAGCTAAGTGTGATATGAGAGGTTTAATGAAATTGATTTTATGATACAAATATCTGAGAAGATTTTCTATAGTGCAAGAATATATAAATGTGTGCTTCTTGTATTGCAAATGTCTAGTGTAGCTTTAGATATAATCTTTGTCTCAAAAGGTTCTCTAATTTTCACATCTAGGGTTTTGATTTGGCCTTTATTATTATTACTAGCAGTCAACCAAGGCTAAATTCTGCTCTGTAAATTATCATTATAAAATATCTAATAATAGAGTCCTTTCTCATTTCTAGTCTAAACTATCTGTAATTACTCTCTTTCTTTTTCTCCCACAGATCAATATTTCGAAGTTAATTAATGAAGTCAAATCTCTGTGGTGCTACATTAAGTCTCAGCATGACAAGTCTGTGGTAAAATCTTACTTCTTGATTAAGTATTTATAGGTAGTAGGACTCCAAAAGGCAGTGGTTCCCAAAGCTTTGGCAGCTTTCCAGTATTCTCATAAGAATAAAGAAGATTCAAAGGAATGTTAGAAGGGATTTGCTAGCTGCTAGAATTAGGCAGTTGTGCAGAGCAGAATTTTCCTTTTGATATCAGCATGGTGTTAAATTTGCTCACCACTTTGCAAACTCATAATCCCAGTTAAACAGCTGAATTTAAACATTGTGATTTGCAGTTTGATTCTTTTCTGATTACATGAACTGAAAAAGACAGGAAATTTAGATTTTGGGGAAAATATCCGCTGGGTGAGAAGGATTGTGTTTGATTCATTATTATTTTAATTGCCTTATGGTACTAGGGAGCATCTAATTCAAGTCCCTGGAGAAGTCTTCAAAGGAGGAAAGATAAATATTAGAATATGTTATTTATAGCCTTTAGTGTTTCTTTTCACCCTCATAAATACACAGATTAAATACAAGGGTTAGATCATGTCTTTTGAAGGTTTTCTTTTACATATGCGATTTGAAAAGTCAAAGCAGAGCTTTAAATAGCTCTCCAGAAAATAATGGCAATGGAGAGATCACTTCTTTCATTACGCTCCAGCTGTAACTTTACCTGTGAATGCTAAGCTGCTTCATCATGTATTTGAAATACAATGCAGGCTATTTTTAGATATTTTTTGCCTTTAGACCAGGGAACTATAAATAGAACTGCAGGTCTAAGATTACTATTCAACTTAAAAGTTTAGACACTTTGAGCACTTTATTTATTATTTCCTCTATGTGCATGGCAAGTTGTTGCATTTCTCGAAAGTGAACAAATCTTGGCAGGTTTGATATGATATTATGTCGCTCTGGTTATTATTTTGAAACTTGGCATGCTCAGTTCAATTACATAGGGCAAATAAGATGTGTTTTAGTTAATTAAATGCAATAAGTTGGTACTGCAGTAATATGTTTCTTAAAGTATTTAAAATATGCTTTTGTTTTTAAAACATGACATTCTTTTCCATACTCTAAGCATAAATATTTATAAACATCTACAGGTTGATTATATGAAAAGTTACAAAGCAAATACACCCAGCATCTTGTGTTTTCTGAAAGAGTACTATATTTTAGTCAGTTCAGGTACAATTTTCTGCATATATACAATCAGTCTAGAACTACATTTACTTGAATCATGTCTTGTAACCTTCTTTCTCTCAGTATCCGAAGCGAGTTGCTTCCTACTGAAAGATGATGAGTGATGAATCTTAGCAGCAAGAGTTCCCTGAGATTTCTGTAATAATTAAAATACTTTGATAATAAACCCAAGTCCTGTACATAGAAATCATCACTCTGAGACAGTGGAATGAGAGTAGTCCTTTGCAATGTTGAATTTTCAAGTAGGGAGATAATCCATTTTTGCTCCCCCTTCTTTTTTTTTTTTTTTTTCCTTTCTGTTCATTCTGAAAGTGTGACTTGATGAACATCAACAGGCTGTAATCCGTTTATTCCATGTGGTGGTGGGAACAGAGAACTAGATATTTCATTTGGACTGAGTGAACCAGAGTCGCTCTGAACTGAGCCGCTACTGCCATCAAACTGAGAGATTTTCTTCTTGATCATTTTTCTCTCTTTGGCTCGGCGATTCTGGAACCAAATTTTTACCTGCAGAGTCACAAAAAATGTATGATTAATCCAAAGTCATAGTCAACTTGCTACAATAACAGTAGCAATGAAAATATAGCAAAAACAATACTGGATTTGTGCAGAGAATATAATTTAGTCACTCTGTATTCATTTTCTGTCTCACAAACAATAGATAACATTTATTTTGTTAGCTCTCGAAGACTCCTTTTTTTTTCTTACATTAATTACCTATATTCTCATTTTACTGTTTATGTTACATCCTTTAAGGTATGCTAAATAGATTATTAAATAGAAAGATGTACTATTACTTTATATTAAAAATCTCTTTATTTTTTCAAACAAGTTTGTTATTTCATTACCTTTCAGGTAATGATGCTAAAAATTATTTAGCCTTGTTAGTCGTGAGCCCCGTCGAAATGTAGAGAGCTTATTACATGATTTGTCCGCATTCTACTCGAAGGTAGTTTACTAGTTAAAAGTTAGAGAGCTGAGAGAAAAAAAGTAACAGTATGTAAAAGGAAATAACTACTGATTTTTGGCAATACTAACAGTTACTTCAAGCATATATGTGCTCTAAATCAGCCAGTTTGCACAACATTAAAGCAGGGTTTTTCAGTGTTTCACAATTGCACTTCTCCAGGAATTTTCCAATGGACCTTTCAGAGGTCACTTACAATCTATGCGCTGGTTGGTTCTGAATGTGAACATCACTGCACTAAAACATTTATTTATAAAAATCCAGTGCTTTCCCACCTCAGCTGGTCCCTCTCTGTTTCATGTTCTGAATGCAGACTGAATGCAGAAGAAGAGATCTTGAAGGAGGAGAGTATTTTAGAGAACTGGATGTGTATATTCATAAAGAACAAAAGTTTTAAAAATTCTGAAAAAAAAAAAAGCTGTCTTAAGTTTACCTTGGGGGCAATAAATCTGATTTCAAAATCTGAGATGCTTTATTCTGTATCATTAAATCTTCCCTAATCCTCCATCTGTAGCAGAACCATTGATGTTCTGTTGTATTGGGATGGTTATATTCAACACTGACACTTGGAGGCTGAAGAGCTGTGCTTCGTAAGTGTGCTTTCCAATGCAGTGATTTGGTTAGAGTATTCTTTATCCAAAACTCTTCTAGTTTTTGTATGAATGCAGACAAAATGCATGGGCCTCCACTCAGGAAACCAAACAGCTCTTCTGTATGTGCTTAGGTTGAATGGATGCTGAGATGCTATCCAAATCAGCAATGCATGTAAGTATGCACTTGAAAATTTCCTGTCTTGACTACATATACATGCATAACAGGCTTAAAGTTTAGGCATCAAATCCTATGGCCAAAAGCAGCCTGCAGTAGTAAGTGTTTGTGCTACCTGTGAAAATAATATCCAAAAAGTACTACTTGAAAAATCAAAGGGTATAAAGGATTCATTAAAACGTGCTGAAGTCTCACTCAGTGAGGAAGAATGTGGCCTGTGGGAACAGTGGTAATAAAGTTCTATTAAATATACACAGATCCTTCATTTGATTACTCTTTGAATGCTGACTTTCATTTTACTGGCTTACAGCTGAAGTGTATCTAGTACTTTGGATCTTTGCTGGCCACCATTTTGTATGATTGCAAGAAGGACTCAGCAATATCCATGTAGTTATGACTATAGTTATAACAATAAGAGCTGAACTGTTTAAATTCTATCTGTCTAGCAAGCTATGGAAGTAAGAATAACAAAATAATTCCTAATCTCTTTTTTCCTAAAATTGCAGTTTTCTGTCAAATTAGCCTATTAATTTGTGTTTGTGTAGTGTATTCTCTGTGTCAGATACCCTCACAAACACTTTCACAGCAGCCTTGCCACTGTTGTTGGTACAGAACACGAACATTATGCATTTCATCTGCCAGTACCAGCGTCTGGTGAATGTATAGGTATGATGAGTAGCCTCTGTGTACCTGTCTTTCAGATAGTCCCAGGTTTGCTGCAAGTTCTGACTTTCTCCTTATTGTAATATATCTGTTGCAGTGAAATTCCTTCTCTAATTCTAGTCTCTGGTGGTCTGTGTAAACAACTCGATATTTTTCTTTTGTTCTCGTTTTACCTGTTTTGAGAAAGAAATATTATTAGTAATGTTGAATTTGATTTTTTTTAGCATCTTTCTTTCAAACACATCAAACATTTTACAAACATTATTAAACTACAGAGTATGCATGGGTTTGTTTGCTGAGTGAGGGCGTATGGGAGAAGTTTCCTGCATTCTCCCAAATGTAGCAAAGTATTGACTGTCATAATAATTTCTCTTTCTTTTTCTCTCTCTCTTAATATACATTTAAGTAGAAAGCTTTTTAGTTAAAAACATCCAGCAGCATCTTATAAGAAATATTTCATAGCAGTACCTAATTGAAACTGGCAATATTCAGATTCAGTTCAGATGGGTTTCACTTCAGTGCTCATTTAAGTAACTTCTGTGTGTAACCCAGACTGAATTCCAGGAGTAACTTTAGGGCTGAAATTCAGTCGTGATTTGTTTAGTAGCACTTTGTCCCAATTCTGTGTTTGAGATTTTAAGTCACATATCTCTGACTCAAAGAACTGTCTCACTAGGAATGTGTGTTTGCTGTCTTACTGCATTGTAGGATACACTTATGTGTTCAATAATAATTAGAATTATATTTTTTTTTCAAAAATGGTCCTATCTTGTTAGGTGGTAAGTGCCTGCTGAGCTGTTCTTGGGGTACCTGGTGTGCTCACTTTTCATTTGGAGTTGAAGGCACATGATAATTTGTAAGACTAGGCAATAAAATACTTTTAAAAGTATTTCAATATTGTCTTATCTCTAATAGATAAAACAAATATTCTGCTGTTGAATAAATACTGGTAACATAAAGTATTACTTCATGTTGCAAGATTTCTTTTATCACTTATTTTTTTAAACTATTCTTCGTCTGATAATAATACAGATAGCTCATTTCTTGACTTATTTGTTCTCTCTTGCACTTTCAACAGTCAAGTGGATAGTTTTCCTTTTCTCCTCTGATCTTCTCAGTTTTTTTTTGATGTGAGTTTTCTGGGACAAACTGTAGGACAAAGACTCCTTTAAAGTGGTTCCCTAAAATCCATTGAGGTGTTAAGATGAAGCACACGCCACACAAAAGAGCGACAAGAAGATCTTATCAGGAACCCTTTTCACATTCAGAAACACAAGCCAATTGGTTTGGAATTTACAAGCCCTAAACAAATGTCAGGCTCTTTCATCTTTGGAGGAAAAAAAAAAGGACAGAAGTAGATGAAGGAATATTTTTTCTTCAATTCCTCTGAATTTTGGACCAACAGTGAGGGTAGACTGAAATGTATTTTATCTAAATGCCAAAAGTAGGCATAACTGAAGTCATTCTGAAATATACATATTTAAGGATTATTTCCTAAATCACGCTCCTTTCATTTCTAGTGCGCAAAGATTCCCTGCCAAGTTTTCAGGGTTAAAACATTAATTAAACTAAGTTTACCTTTTTCAAGGTACAAGTTGTCTTTGAAATATTTGCAAAAAGTGATAGTTATAATTTTTATTTTAGTCTAGATATTCAGGTTCCTTGTAATCTCAGGCTTAGAAGGTGACCTCTGAAAAAAAGTTAAAATTCAACAGGGTTATTCCAGCTTCTCTATAATCGGCAAATATGACCATGATTTGAAGGGGTGGAGAAAAAGAGCAGTTTTCCCCATTCCCCTTGGCCATAAAATTCACAGAGCGTTTCTTCTGAAGACAATAAAGCGTGGGGAAGGCCTCTTTATTTGCTGTGAAAATCATCACCCTTTCCGGCAATATAACTCCTGAAGAAAAGAGGGAGAAGGAAGAGACAAGACTGCATATCAAAGCAAAGAGGTGTTGAAAGGGTCTGTTGCCTCAATATGACAGATAGACCTCAAAATCTAAGACAATGTAGGCCAGAGAAAAATAGATGTCACAACTAGTTTACAAAGCAAAATAAATTAGCATTAGAGCAGAGGCTTGGCCTTTTTTTCCTTATAGTTTCTCTTCTGTTTTATTTTCTAACATCACAGTAATTTTGCTGTGATTTAATCTGAATTACTTGTGCATCACTGCCTATTTAAACAAAGACATAAAGTATGTTGAGTACAGCTCAATAAAAAAAGTTTTCTACATTTGTTCTTCCAAAATAGAAAAATAATCTTGTCCTTCCCTGTAGTCTCTTTAAAGTCTATTCTGTTTCTGGAAGGGTCACTTCCAGATGAAGTTTCGTAGAAATCTTTTTCTGGACCTCTGTTTGGATATCTTCTTTTCAACAAGTGCCGTGAGGCTTGCTGTTACTAAGTTCAGCATTTTACACTATTGATTATACTGGTTTTAGAAACGAATTGGATTCAAGTTCTGTTCTTAAATAGCTGAACTTGTTAGGACACTTTGATTTTGATGAAAACAGGATGAGACAAGAAGTAATTCTTTTTTTTTTTTTTTCTCTCTGGCATTGGTAGCTGGTCTTGAAAGACATTCCTGTGAAGGCTACTTTGAATGTTTGCTTTTAAAAGTTTCTTATTGCCCAACATGCCTGTAATTTATGTACATCTGAAAAAAAATGTTTTTAAATATACAGTTTTGGTCTTTTTGTAAGAGACTATATTCACCAAAATTTCAGAGTAAATTCTATCTGTTGAAGGGACATAAAAGTGTATTCGTACCTTAACAATATTGTTTCATCCTGAGAATTGATTTTGTTGAGTAAATTTTTGTTTCAGTTTTGCTGCAATTTAATTTCTTATATAAAATGGCAAATGCATTGAAGCAGAATGTACAGTATTTAATATAGTGTAAATTGAAAAAATATATTCTGATAACCTAATATTCATTATCTTTAGGACAGTATATAAGTAGGTTCCCTCATTTAGATATTTTTTGATTTCTGTTATTCCAAGATGCTCACATATATCCATCTAGGTACACACTGCAAAAGAAATTAAACATGTACATACTTGTGTGTGTATACATAAGATACATAGCTTAAATAGCATGTAATTATGTATAATATTCTGGAGGTGAGGAAAAACAAGGAACAAGTCTATGTTTCAAAGAGTGGCTATAATGCATGGGAAAGGTTTTTAATGTTATCTTCTAGATCAAACATTGGTAAGTTAACATGTAATTGTTAACTACATGTTAGTTTTAGTCTGCATGGTTTTAGTCTGTTATAGTTGTTTAAATTTCTTCGCTTTACACAGAAGCTTTTATTTGTCAGTATTATCATCATAGTAAATTTTACCTCTTTTTTACACTTAACATTATTTTTAAAATCTCCAATAAATTTGCAAATTGATTTAGTATTTCTCCTGATTCTGCTTTCCCAAATAGCTTTTTTGTTTGTTTGATTTGTTTTGTTTTTAAGCATATTTATGTCTTGAGCCCAATTCTGTGAAGTCTTGATCTGTTTTTAGCACTTCAGAAGGCTGGACTCTAAGCATGTAATGCCTCAGGATATTTAAGTACTGACAGGTCCCAATTCATCTGTCCAGTATTGTTCATAAAGGGAACTTATACACAACGTGTTTAAGTTTCAGCATGTGTGCCTGTGCTTTTCAAACTAGAGATACTTTTCTGAATTGCTTCTACATTTCATGAAGTTGAGCAAGCATGTGTGAAGCTTGGAGTGTCTTCTATGCCTATGCAATAAATGTGAAGACAGACTTTAGATTTTCAAATCTATTTAATTCTTACAAAATACTAATACATTTTAATTTCACTGATACCTCAACAGAGACAGGGTTGCCCCATTGGCATTCAGAGTAGTTGCAATGGATTTTGGTCCATGGTCAGGTCTGCATCACCTTTTACACCTTGAAAACTCCAATAATGTTAATGAAGTTACTGCTGATTTACATGAGTATACATAAGGGAAAAAAAAAGATTATAAATCTAACTGACTTCAAGGAACATTGTATAGGCTCCATGTGGAAGCATGGAATAACCATAGTGCTCACTAGGGATTTTATGTTTAGTAACAGTAGAACAAAGTGTGTATCATCTGCTTTATAACTAATAATCAATTATAAAACTAATCTTGCTCTTGAGTGATAACCATCACTTAAGGAAGGATGATTTATCTCCAGTGACCCATCTGATTTTCTGTGACCTCTGAGATTGCTCCTTCAATTGTAACTGCCCTTCTTTCTTTAGCGCATTTTCTTTGATGCTCTCTAACGTGCACTTATTACTTTTAACCTTAACAATAGATTTAGCAAACCTTGCTACACCCAATTTACACCTCAGGGCTATAGGCAGAAAGGTTCTTCTGGTATGCACCTCGTGACAGAAACAGGAACATCAAGGAGTGGCACTTAGAACAAAGTGACTTTTAATTGTCTAGTTGTGGTAGACTGCAAAATTCTGATACATGAGCAAAATACTATAAATACAGATCTGAAACTTAATGAAAAGGAAGCTTCACTAAGAAGCAAACAAATATAGTCTATGACTAATCTGGAAATATATCTTCTCATCTAAGAAATCTATGTAGGAAAAGTAAAAAGGATAAGAAGAGTAGCAGAAAAAATTATAATCAATACAGTTTGATCGTAGCACAAAATCCTCTTTAAAAATATTGAAATTTCTATAAATTTTTTTAAATAATCAACTTATTTCTGTGTTGATATTTAACTTGCTACTCAAAATAATTACATACTGTTTTTACATATAACTGCATGTAATGTTGCTGCATTCAGTCTTCCTTAATATTCTGAAACTTGTCGTATTTTCTAACCAACACTGTTAGAGTGAAGACTGCTGAAGCTGAGCGTCATGCAGCCATATCCCAACAAACCAGCCGTTCCACTATAGTAACCATATAAAACGTTCATGGAAAGAAAGTTAGAGTAGTGCCAGTTCAGTTAGAACTGAATTAAATGGTAGTAAAATAAATGTCATAAACGATTGACCAACCTATGTGCTTCAAGTGAAGTTAATTATTTTTAAAATCAGTGATAGCTGAACATGTGTTTTGAGGAAGAAAACTTAACGTACACTTACCTGTGGTGTTAACTTGCACCGTTTTCCGCATCCATTCGTAAGAGCTGTGCCGTTGGCTGGTGGGAGAGATTTGCTGGGCATTAGGTGCGTCTGCGGGAGGTAACCCCCCAGCTGCAGCGGGATGCAGGGAGCTGTAATCAGCAGAGCTGTAGGAGACCTGCCCAGGAGAGGAGCCGTTGATCTGCGCAGCAGCGGCGGTGCTGGAGGGTCCCGGGCCATAAGTGGTCCAGTCATCCCTCTGCGGGCCGTAGTGAGGTGCCCAGGGCCCTGCAGGCTGGCCATGGTTGTCCAGAGCCGGCACATGATGATATCCCATGTAATCTGGATAGGACGGAGTGGACACAAAGTTTTGCACAGGCAGGCTGTGGTTACCCCTTGCAGATCCTGGATACATGCTGGTTTCCTTATCCAAGAGAGAGCTCACGTACATGATTGGCAGATTGTAAATATGTTGTCACAGCATCCCGAATCCTCTGAATTTTCTTTAGCTACTTAAAAAGAATTCTGTGTTTGGTTTTCGCCAATAATGGCACTCTGCTTGGAATCTTTTACTTCATCCTCTTTTATTATCAACTGTGTTACCAGGTGCTGGTGGTAATGGTTTACCAAGATCTTGCCTGACGTCAGCCTGCCTGCCTGCCTCATAATTACATTTGCATTCAAATGAAGGGCTGACCATGCAGGCAACCCCACCTTGCTGATAGTTCATGTGCTTTCTTTTTTTTTTTTTTTTAATGAACTTTTATGTATACTATTAGCCTTCTCTGATATTTTACAGGAATTCTACTGCTGTCTGAAAATGTAACAGTATCTTGTAGTTAGTAGCTTAGTAATAATCTTCTTAAAATAAAAAATAAAGAAAAAAAAGACAAAGTTTACTCCAACATTAATGTTTGTTTTTCATTCTGTTTTTAAAATGATACTTATCCATGGAGCATATTTTTGATATATTATTAATATATAAGGAAAAGTGTTTGTTTATCCTCTAACTTCTTAGTTTCTAAAAAATCTCATTTTAACTTCTCAAACTAAGGGATATGATCAAACTGAATAATTGTAAGGGAATAATTTCAGATTTAGTACACCTTTTAAATACAGTGTCATTAACTGAGCTCTTATCTGAGAGTGTTTCTCTAATTTTTTAAGTAATCTTCCAGCTAATGAGAGAAATTAAGACTGACTCTGTAATGAACTTGTTCCCATTCTCTACATGTGGAGTGGTTTAAAGAGATGTCTTCATCTGATGGCCATTGCAAACTGATACATTGCATGAAGCAGATAATTAAACATCCTAAAAGCAATAGTGCCAGAAGTTTAAAAGAAATGACTGAAAAAGTCTTTAATTAAATCCATTGATTTTTATTTTAAACTGAAGAAAACTGTTACATGCCTGAAAGATTTGGTTCCTCACCCTGAAGATGCTGCTATTAATAGTCTGTCTTTGATGGTGGCAGTTTTGGTAAGTTAAGTAAGTGCATCATCCCCTGGTGCTTGTCCGTCAAGTGCCTGGCACACACTGGGTACTTTAGAGTAATATAAGCCTTTCTACTAAGAAAGGTAATTCTAAAGATGTTTATATGTGTCATTATTAGGAGTTTCATATTAGCCTGAGAGCAGTAAACTTGAGAATTGCCACTGTACAGTTGTCTAGTTACAGTCTGTGGAGTGCTTTCTACCTCATATTTTCATCTTAGATGAGTTTTTTTGCAGTGAACTATTTGTCAAGGCATATGTGTGCAAATGAGGTGCAAATTATAATGAGTTGTTTCCCTTTACAGAAGTGTGGCTTTGCATTCAGTGCTTTGTATTTTGATACTATTTACACTATTCATATTGACACATCCCTTCTAATTCCAATATTAAAGGAATCTAAGTGTGTACTTAAAGGGAGGGAAGATATTCCCCACTGTTTTCTAGAGAAAAGTATTTTTAGTGAGGTGTAGTTAAATCTTTATAATTAATTTTTAAATTTTTACAGATTTCTTTATTTCTGAATCTCAGGATCCTAAGAATGTTGAGGAAAGCTGTGTTATAGGATAGGGTATAGAAAAAGTGAGGACTTTGGTAATTGGTGTGACCCTTTACTATGAAAAACATAAAGAAGAGAAACTTCTTTTTCTGTAACTGGCAGAAAATACATTGAAATATAATTGTATGAAAGTCCACGGACCTTTTAGTAGTGATTTGTCCTACAAAACAAAATGGAGAATTTGTATGGATTCTACTGGGCACCTTTCCAATCGAATAAAACATGTTGCTTATCCTGGAAGTATTCTGTCTTGGACATATTCTCTACATCTTTGGCCTATTCGTGAGCATTATTCTAGCTGTTAAATTCCTAAATACTGCTAAATACATTGTGCATCAACTATCAGCTACATGTGAAATCCATTGACATTCTACAAATGACTATGAGCTGTTCATAGGTTTCGGATTAGACACATTAATTAACTTTTCATCTTAAACAAAATTTTCACATCTTGGAAAATGTCATTTAGTTTCCTAGCATGCATCACATGATAACATTTTGAATCCCTGGTCTTTCTCTTCCCTTATGGGATGTTTCTGCTGATACCATTCCCCGCTGCCCCTCCCCAAATTTCCCTATCACCTAATCCTATTTTTTGTATCTCACAGCTTTATCCCTCATTCTCTGTTCTTCTTTTATCTTTTGTTTACGCTCCTCCTTTCCCTTTCTTGTTTTGCCTGTTTCATTATCTGAATTTTCTTTAGATCTATTTCGATTCTTTCCAGAACATAATTAGATCAAGATACGCCTATGGCAAATTGCTGTACTGATTTGATATCTGCTAACAATAGTAAGCTTTGAATAAGGCATTCTGTTTAAAAAAGATTTACATAGAGGGATAAGATTGTTGGGTAGGATTGCAGATTTTTAGCACCAAAGTGAGAGTAAGATAACTAAAATGGCAACATGCAGATGATCTTCCACACTCTGACTCCGATACCTCTCATTTTGTGCAGTCATACATGTGTTTTAAAAAGGAGCTGTATGTTTTCATGCTGTCCAGGAGTTTGAAGCTATGAGAATTTGGGGGTGGATCTCTTTTGAGAACTAGTTTGCTCTTGATGTGAACCTGCCAGAGAATTATTCCTTGGCCACACATGTCATTTCTGCTCTTCTCCACCACGTGAGCAGCTTTGGAGCTTCACCCAGGTGGATCTATTGCAGATGTGAAAGGTGCAGCCACAGAACCACTCTGTCTTCAGTGCCTAGCAGTGACTTAAACTACAGTTCCCTGAAGACTCATAGTGGGCATTGCCCTCAAACCAACCAAACAAACAACCCCTCTAAACTGCTCGTTTATTGTCCACACTGGCATGGCCGGGATGGGAGAGCAGCAAGGGGTTGCTGCTGTTAGAAGGGCTGCTCTGCTTCTTATGCCTGTTTAAAGCACTTTTGAAAGTGTCACGGTGTGCCCTCCCTGACTGTCCTCCCCATTCTGAAGCACTGGACTAGACATGCAGAAATCTCATTCACGTGGCGGTTGGTACTTGAGAGTTTTCGAAAGGACAGGACAGGAAAGGTCTGTAGTGTATTGGCAGAAAGTGTGCTGTGCTCTCAGGCACACTTCAAAGAGTTTCATTGCCAAAATGGTGATAATGGAATGCTGAGGTTATACTTTTCCATTTTTTTCCTCCAACTGTTACGATATCGCATATGATTTATCTACTTAGCTAGTACCTGTGTAGAAGCTGCCACAGCTTTTTGTTGAAGTGGAGGGCTGTATGTGTACAAAATGTACTTTGATATCTTTGAGAAAAAAATGTTTAATTTTCTAACGAGTGGTTTATGGAAATCTAGTCATGACGACAACTATAGTGGTAACCATTGATACTATTGCAGTTTTGTCTGACCAGCAGTGTAGATTATAGTACTATAGTATGTGTGTTGCTCTAAGGAGCTTTTCCAACACTGGTAATAACAGTATAAATCCAATGGCAAAGCGTAAAATTAAGAGTTTAAATGGCAACAACTATAACTTCAATTTCAGGAACTACTGATAGATTAAAACTGACTTGTACAACACTCACACTAAAGGCATTTATACATGTGATTCTTTTGTAAAGTTTATGCTTTAGTTTATGGAGAGAAGAAAGCACCCAAGCTTTAGTATGCTCCCTCTTACTGAGGTGATAGATGTTTCGTTTCCTTGCTTCTGGCTGGCCATTTTGATAACACATCAATAAACACATTACCTTATATTGCTATTTTTCTAGTTGCTGACAGTCATCTTTCCTAGTGTTAACTTTTCCATTTTTTTGAAGTAGTGGCAATATATAAATCATACATAGACTGCATCAGAGTTGCGCATGCAGGAGGAGGGCTCTGGAACTAAACCTGGGTCTTGTTATTCTGAAATCTCAATAATTTAAAATCTACTGCAAAACCAATACTGACAATAATAAGCACTCAAAAAGGAGACATATCAGAACTTAAAGAGCCTACATATGAAATCCAGATTATATCGATTCTGTCCAGTAGAACCACAGAAATAAGAAGCAAAGTTGCTCGGTTTTCTTCTTGAATCATGGAGATTAGAGCTCCCTCTTTCTGTAACGAATTTATCCAGAGTGGAGATAGAATTTGCTGGGTGCTGGCTATAGGGTCTTTCAGGCATTCTTTAGGATGGTCTCTGTTTCCTGAGGCAATGAAAGGATTGATTGCCTTTACCGATTGATGTTCTTGGCATGCACAGAGGTTTTATTCTTGGCAAAGTGTTATTTCTGTCACACAAATTTAACTATTCTTTCATATTCTCAAGTAAAAGAGATTATTGTCTATACGTGGACAGTGTAGTCTGTCTTGCATTAGAGTGACCATGTTTTATTGAGGCTTATGAGACGAAGAACATCAGCTTGTATAGTACAGAATCATCTCCACTTAATGTTACCGTGTCAGAACGGAGTGTGTCACACAACGGACAAGAAAGTGTCTGTGCTCTTGGAGAATGGGAAGAAGGCAGGTAGCATACATTCCATTGTAGAGCCAGTGTCTGCTCTTTCAGCAAATACAGTCTTGGGTCCAAATGGTAACGTAATGCCCATTTCAAAATGTGACTAGTTAAGTCGTTCAAGGTGAGCAGGGATGTGTCATTTCACTGTATACTCCAGATGGAAAAGCTTAAATATCTCACATTAATCTCACACATAGAGAAATGATTGCATACCACCCAAGAAACTGCAGATAGACACCACATAATTAAAGTCCTAATGTTTTAGAAATACCATTTTGAATTGTATGTTGCTTAGTTGCATGAAATTTTTGGAGAAGATCCTGTTTGATATGTCGTTCTTGATTTTTTTTTTTTTTCATATAGCACATGCATCTGACTGGGCAAGACAGTGTAAAGGTTAGTGAATTCTTCTGAAAATTGGATATACCTTGATAGTTGGTTTAATCACAAT